TGGCCGTTTTACAGCGTGATGTCACGATGACATCATAGGTGATATCATAACGTTCAGGAAAAAAACTTTAGTTTGGTACAAATTTTAGTTATTTCCTGCCTCTAAGGGGCCGTCCGTAAATATCGATTTTATATCACGAAACGAATTAATTTTTGTTTCAACCCAGCCCAACCGTGTCGACCCATCAGAACGAAAAAAGATGTTGGTGTAATACATGTATATAGATGTATAAGAAAAGTGGCATGTGTGTCACTGTACTCCAACATCCATGTACATGAGTCAATGTTTTCTGAAACAAAAGTGGTCAACCCCTTCCCATCACATAACGAAAATATTTCGTTTTGTGAAAAAGTTTGGATATGTATGGACGGACCCTAAGGAATATAGCGAAAATTAATTCTAAAACGAAACTTGCAATTGCAAAGTAACATGTATAGATACACTGCAGGTTACAGTATTTCAAATTCACCATGGTAACAGATTCACCTCAGTGACAGACCGGCAACGCCACAATTAGTTTGGTCTCTGGATGTGGATAAAACATTACTATCCTGGCTGACAAAGGCTGGCCTAGTTATTCCAATGTCCTTGGTGGCATTCCATCATGCTTTCCCAGCAGGGACAGGACCAGGGAGTAGTAATTTACTGCTACTTTACTACTTCAAGCACAGCACTGCGATCCCCCAGGCCATTAGGCGAAAGCATTCTGAATACATGATGAACGAAAGTGGAATGTTTTAGGGGTGCAAACACGTGCCTGTGGTGCCCGCTACGAGCTACACGCTTGCCGCCTCACCGCTTTGATCACAGAGTTGACAATAAGCTTCCATCGTGTGCTGGCTGGGGAGCTGGCAGGTCCAGCGGCACAAAGAGAACGACAGAATTGGCTAGAGTGTTGCACAGACTACATGCACACGCAGGACTTCTGCGAGGAGTGCGGCTGGCTCTTCTGCAGCGCCACCAACACAGCTTGAAACACCTCTGTACAGACCTGGCGACGCACGTGTACATGTGTACGTGCACACAGACACACAGACACGCACAAACACCCACGCACACACACACACACACACACACACACACACACACACACACACACACACACATACACACACACACACACACACACACACACGCATACACACACACACACACACACACACACACACACATGCATACACACATGCATACACACATGCATACACACACACACACACACACGCACACAAACAAGCACACACTGTTGCGCATAAGGGCACTGGGAGGCATGATGTTATCAATATTTTCCACTTCACATCAAATAGATGTCAAACTAGAACAATACCAATAGACATAGCAAGGTATGGAGGGAGTACGATTATCAATAAGAAGAGTGTGTGCAATGGGATTTCTCACCTGTTTTACTTCATCAACATTCCGAGCACAGCACACAGCATGATAAACAGTACGTATCCGAGAGGACATGGCCGTCGCTTCCTCTAACGTCACTTGCATCGTGTCATCACCACCATCACCATCACCACCATTGCCACCAACGTCCTCTCCTGCTCCACTTCCATCCCGTACTCTGCTTGCCTCATGTGCTCCACTTGTATCCTCCCTTGGTCCGCTCACCTCCTGTGTTTCGTTCGCTTGTCCTGTGCCAAGATCCGAGGTTCTACGTAGATCATTCTTGAGGCCAATCAGGCCTATTTGAAGAGATTGACCATAGCGATTGCGCATCATCTCCACAAACTGTACATGAGACACAGAGGAATCGTACACAGAACTGTTTTAAAAGCGGAAACCTAGATGATAGAGTCCAGGACTCACTGCTATGTTACCCGTGTAAACATTGTCATGAAGAAAGATACTGGAGAAGAGAAAGAGGAAGGGAGATGAAAAGAGAAGGAGAGAGTGTTTGTGTATGTCTGTGTGATGCGTGTGTGTGCATACATATGTGCGTGCGTGCGTGCGTGCGTGTGTGTATGTGTGTGTGTGTGTGTGTGTGTGTGTGTGTGTGTGTGTGTGTGTGTGTGTACGTACGTGTGTGCGTGCTTGTGTGTATGCATGTGTGTGGTGTGTCGAGCAATGAGTGGGAGAGAGACACACACACCCATATGCACACACACAGAAAAGAGAGAAAGATAAAGAGAGGTGTGTGTGTTGGGGGGGGGGGGGGGGTATTTACCGACCACTTCAAGAGCTACAGTGCACACAGATAGGCCTGGGCGGATAATGCTAGTTATTTTGCGGGATAATGCTAATGGCAATGCCAGAAAACTGTATCATAATGCTACTTATAATGCTGCTGTTCCTCTGTAATGCCAGCAATTCACCAGTAGTACGTACATATATGGAAAAATGGCTTGGTTTGGGCAGTATTATGCACGTAACTCGGAGTTCTGCGTAGACGGCATGGAAAATGCTAGAAAATCATGATCATAATGCTAATTTTATGCTGCTATTGCTCCATACAATCCCTAGCAGCTAGCTGTCCAGCGAGGAAAGTCTCGAGTGG